TGATAGGTGTGATTTCTGCATATACCAAATGACTATCTGCATTAAACAATGTAAATGTGGAGCATATTCTTTAAGATCATCTTTTTTTTCTTTTCTTTTTCAATGTTTCTCTGCCTGTGCAGGAAAGGTGGAAGGGAGAGGAAAACAGAGAGAGACAGATTGATTTTCCATTTATAACTACTCCTTTTCTATTGTTCTTAAGACAGCTTTCTGTCCAGGCAGCTATTTCTCTTTAGATTCCACAACTTGGCAGCATCGCCATTAATCTTTGACAATGTCAAAAGATTAATGCATTGTCAAATGCATTTTGCAGATTCAAGTCTACTTCCTCCATTCAATTTTCCCTACCTGTTTTAATAGATATATCTTTATATCTTTTTGCAGGCGATGACTGAACATTTCTTCCAGGCACTTGTAGTTATGGTAACAATAACTAAATAAACTAATAAAAACAATAACTAATGATAACAAATCAAACTGTGCAAAGTTAACATACTTTGATATTATGTGTCCATCTCTCCCTACAATTTATACAAAAGTTGAAACAATGCTGTATACAGGGGGCATGGTATGATTCATAGGTGTTTATTTCTCACAGGCTAACCCAACAGCTACAATTCTGTCTCCCAGAAAAATCTATACAATGATAATGAAATAACATTAGTGGGATTCATGCAGTCTCTTCAGATGGTGTTGGACTGTTACTCCCTGCAGGCCCAGCCAGCCTAGCCATTGTCAACGAATCAGGACAGTGGCATTCCAACAATATCGGTAGTGCAGCATGAAAAAGAAGATGTAGCCTTCATTTTGTTGGTGGATTTTATTCAGCCTTATCTAAAATACACATCCCAGTTATAATCAGCTTCAACAGTATTTCTTCAGAATGCACATTTCTTCATAAAACATTGTTGTTCATTTGTTCAGTCGCTTCCGACTCTTTGTGACCTCATGGATCAGCCCACGCCAGAGCTCCCTGTCAGCTGTCACCACCCCCAGCTCCTTCAAAGTCAAGCTAGTCATTTCAAGGATACCATCCATCCATCTTGGCCTTGCTCTTCCTTTTTCCTTCCATTTCCCCCAGCATCATTGTCTTCTCCAAGCTTTCCTGTCTTCTCATGATGTGGCCAAAGTACTTCATCTTTGCTTCTACTATCCTTCCCTCCAATGAGCAGTCGGACTTTATTTCCTGAAGTATGGACTGGTTGGATCTTCTCACAGTCCAAGGCACTCTCAGAACTTTCCTCCAACACCACAGTTCAAATCATAAATCATATATGGTCCTAATTTTAGCCAACCTTATCAAATTGCTGCCTTCTGGGGGTTTTGGGCTGAAACTCCAAACCAAGATGATCAATCCCTATGGAAGATGGTTGCACCAGTCCCAAGAGGTCCCAAATTGAAGAAAGCTAGGTTAATTAAACTAGATAAAGAGAGTTGTATTAAATTTCTCAGTCATAGATATATATCCCAATCTTCTTAACAAGGGTGTTATTAGTCCAATCAGAGGGCTCGTGTACAGTGCATAGATTTCTATGTGACTCCTGAGATTATAATCTCTGAACAAACATCATATATAATAGAAGGCTGGTGGCTCTAGGCACTGGGGGAATGGGAGATGGGCTGCCATTCCAGCATTTTGGTTTTTTTTTAACCTTATTTTTATAAGGTTGAAGAAGATTGCTTCATTGTAGTAAAGAGAAATCTCTTGAACATCACTTAGGTTGAGGGAAGTCCTTAACAAAATGGAATGCTATCACAGCACCCACATTTTCCAGAGCCTATCAGAGGTCATAAACTGTCTGACAGATAAAAGGATGTCATGTTCCATGGCCATTCTTTGTGCAAGGCTGTGGAAATGAGATGTGCCTTGACAGTGAGGTGTATGGAGTAGAACGTATTTTAAGTATTTCAGTCCAAGCCCTCAGTTTCACATGGTATCTGAAAACTCTTGGAAGTACAAATAATGAAAGTGTTTATCAATTAATCAACATGAAGGGATAATGATATTTTCCCCACTGTACTGTCTTGGGTCTATGTAAGGATTACTACATTCAATTATTATATATTACTGCATTTAATTATTATTATATTAATATCTTTTAAACTCCATGTTTTAATGCTTAAATGTCATTGCGTTTTTATTAATTAATTGATAGCTGTATGTTATTGTTTTATGTTGGGTTTTTATGTATGTAAGGCATTAAATTTTGCCATATATATGTTGGAAACCGCTTTGAGTTGTTTCCCCTCCCACCCCCCACCCACCCCCCCACCCCCCACCCACCCCCCCACTCCCAAACAAGAAAAGTGGTATACACATGAAGTAAATAATAATAAATAATTTAATTAGGTTTTTTTTCCTTCCTTACTTCCTTTTTAGACTACTTTTTTCCTCTTCTAGTGACAGTTGCCAACATTACCTGTATAGGATTCATGTCTGCAAGTCTCATTTACTATTTTGCTCATCTCCTTTCATATCCCTGGCTGGATTTCTTGAAGAAATCAAAGTAAGTAACTATGAATATTCAAAGTAATTACTGTGGAGTTTGCAACCATAAGCTTAAATTGCAGTGGCCCATGGCAATTTGCCAGTATAAAAATCATATATATATATATATATATATATATATATATATATATGCGGCCATTGAATGCAGATTGTCTGTCTTTGATGAAGGAGATGGATAGAGGAAGAGTCAAAATGGTTTATGTCCTTAACAAATCTACTTTTTAACTCCTCAGGAATGGAGATAGCTTCATTCTCAAATTAATGTAAAGGTAGAGAAAGTCTTCAGTCTTCCACGCCAAATTGTGCTGGTGTCTCACTAAATTACAACTCCTATGATCTTAAAGTGGTGTCAAACTGCATTAATTCCACAGTGTAGATACACACTGGAGCGCTAGGTGGACCAATCTCCATTAACCATTGGCAGAACAACCATTGGGTTGCTGTGAGTTTTCTGGGCTGTATGGCCATGTACCAGAAGCATTCTCTCCTGACATTTCACCCATATCTATGGCAGGCATCCTCAGAGGTTGCGAGGTCTGTTAGAAACTAGGAAAATTGGGTTCATATATCTGTGGACTGTCCAGGGTGGGTGAAAGAACTCTTCTCTGCTTGAGGCAGGTGTGAATGTTGTAACTAACCACCTTGATTAGCATGTAATGGTCTTAAGTCTAGCTGCTTACTGCCTGGGAAATCTTTTATTGGGAAGTGATTAGTTGGCTCTGATTGCTCCCTCCCTCCCTCCTTGCTGCTCTGATTCAAAGGAAACCCATGTATCTCCAAATATTTGGTCGACCTTGCCTCAGTCTGAAATCCCTCTATTCTACTGAATGGAGTGGGGGGGGGGGGGGGCACAATTTTTCCAGGCAGAATAAAAATGTGGTGAAGCTCTTGCTTCTTCTTCTTTGGCAAAAGGAGACGTTGGGGGGGGGGGGGGGGAGTGCTGGCTCATCTCCTGCCTCTTCTCGGATGATTCTGCTTGGAAAAAAAATAATCCCACCGAATAAAGGCAGCTCCGTGAGCCTCCTGATTCAGCCAGCACCTTGACCTCAGACTTGATCCAAATGGCTAAATTCAAACGAAATCCTTTCAACCCCGATCTTCCTTTCTTTGGCGGATCCCAGGGGAATCGCGGACTGGCGTTTAGATCCGAAAAAATCTCCCGCTTCCTCCTCCTTCCCCCTCGAGGGCTTTGCTAGTTTGGGGCTTCCAGAAGGAAGCAGCAGGTTCCAGGGCGACGCGTTTCCAATCCACCGTGGCCTGTCTAAAGAGGCGCCCCGGGGCACCCCCTCCCCTCCCCTGGCAGGGAAATAGACCCACGCAGGACACATCATGCCCGAGTATTGGCTTGGTTGGATGCCGCTCATGGTTGTAGCCCAAAGCACTTGGAATCAGAAATAAAGAACATCGCAGTGCAGGTGTGAAGCATCTCCACTCCTGATGTTGGGCGGGTTTAGGAAAACGACCCACACAGGGTTCCTCTACACCAGGCCCCCACAAACTGTGACCTTCCAAGGGGTCCAAAACACCTGGGCGGCCACAGGTTGTGCAGGCCTGCTCCACACTGTGGAATCCATGCCGTTTGACACCGCTTGAGCTCAGTGCTATGGAACCATGGGAGCTGTAGTCGGCGAGGCAGCAGAGAAGCCTCAAGACCTTGGTCCCGGGACTCCATAGCCTGGAGCCAAGTGGTGTCAAGCTGCCTTCCTTCTCCAGTGTAGGCACACGCTCCTGGGCGGGTCTCCTCCATTGCTGGGCTGCGAGGCGACCAAGGAAGGGCTTCCAATCCTGAGCTTGCATTTAGGACCCAGAGAGAGAGAGAAAGAGAGAGAGAGAGAGCTGCTGGGCGCGGAGGAGCCCAGTGCGCCTGCGCGGTGTCGGAGCGTCCGGAGACCGGGCTGCCTGGACTGAGCGGCCAAGAGCGGCGAGACCATTGGCGGCGGCGGCGGCGGCGGCGGCGGCATCTTCTCTGGCACCCAGCCTTCAGCGCCACCTGCGAGATCGCTTGGGCGAGTGGGAAGGTCGGGGGAGCAGAGAGAGAGACTGAGGGAGATTGAGGGAGACTGAGGGAGATTGAGGGAGGGAGGCGCGCTTGGTCTTCCCCTCCCAGCAGCACAGCCCACCTGAGGCTTCAGCCGGAGCCACCATCAGAGGCAGAGCCCGCGATCGCCCCATCCCCATCACCGCCCAGGTTGGGACCGTCCCCTGCCTCCCTGCCCAGCCTCTGCTGGAGGCCAAGCGCGGCTCCAGCCCAGCCCTCCTCCCCGCGCCCGCCTCCATCCAGGAGAAGAGCCTCGCCTTGCGAAGCGGGGCCGGAGCGCTGTCCATTTCAGCACCACGCTTCCCGGCCTCCTTGCCTCTGCCGAGGCGGGTCCCAAGGGCGCCTTTGGGCTTGCCGGCAAGGGCGACCGGCCCGGAGGACGCCGACGGAGACACCCAAAGGACGGAAGGAGGGAGGGAGGGAAGGAAGGAAGGAAGGAAGGAAGGAAGGAAGGAAGGAAGGAAGGAAGGAAGGAAGGAAGGAAGGAAGGAAGGAAGGAAGGAAGGAAGGAAGGAAGGAAGGAAGGAAGGCTCCGCGCCGGACAGGTTTCCTGGGTCTTTTGTTTGCAGCAGAGAGAAGAAAGCACGAGGCGGGATCATTCCCCGCTTTGCTGGCGTTCCTGGCTTTGTCCTCACTCACCACCGCTCCTTCCTTCGTGAGGTGACTTGGATGTCCTGTACTTGTTGATTTTTCCTCTCCAACTGCGAAAAATCGACCTAAACCTTTAGGATTTCTACGTGTTGAGCACTACCAGGCAGTCGCCTCTGCCTCTAGGACGAAAGTACAGCAGGGATTTCTCCCCCCAACAGTATCTTCATGAGATAGGGTCTCCTTGCTGCAGCTGGGCCCTTCTTCCCACCATATTTCCCTATGTGTGTTGTGTGGCCTGGTGTTTGCAAACCCAACTCCTCCTAAGATCTTTTTGCAGGAGCCTGCTGTCAGTTCTTTCCTTGGTAGGTCTGTGTTCCACTAGATGTATTTGATGGCCATGTTTCACCAAGGAAGCCAGCACCCTTTCTCCTTGCTCAGACTGAACTAACTAACCTTCCCTTCCTTTGCAGACAGGACCTGTATTATCAGTCAATCCCTCCCTCCACCTTTGGTGGGTTTTTTAAGTATACCCCTATCAGATTGGGTGACCTTGTGGTTGCTTCCACTTTTATGATTCTATGACTTGTATCAGGCGTAATGGCATGATAATTTTCCAACGAGGACTCACTATCTGCCACCAATAACTTTACAGATCCTTTGGCTTTTTTCTCCTCAAGAAGCTGGTTCTTGCCTTGGATGGTGGGAGCTTCTTGCCCCTTCTAGATACCAATCAAGGCAGTTATTGATTTCAGACACCTCCTTATGTGCTTGCTGGGTGCTGTGCTTGTTTGGATGAGTCCACGACATGCCTAATAAGAGACGAGATGGGCCAGGGCGATGAAAGCGATCGCATTGTGATCAACGTGGGAGGGACTAGGCACCAGACTTACCGCAGCACCTTACGCACCTTGCCCGGCACCCGACTGGCCTGGATCGCAGAGCCAGATGCCCACAGTCACTTTGACTATGACCCTCGTACCGATGAGTTCTTCTTTGACCGGCACCCTGGCGTCTTTGCCCATATTCTGAACTACTATCGCACAGGTAAGCTGCATTGCCCAGCTGATGTCTGTGGACCTCTGTATGAGGAGGAGCTGGCCTTCTGGGGCATCGATGAAACCGATGTGGAGCCCTGTTGTTGGATGACCTACCGGCAGCACCGTGATGCTGAAGAGGCCCTTGACAGTTTTGGTGGGGCCCCTCTGGATTGCAGCGCAGATGATGGAGATGTGGATGGCACTGGAGACTCAGGGGATGGCGAGGAGGAGCTGGAGATGACAAAACGCCTGGCACTCAGTGACTCCCCAGATGGAAGGCCTGGGGGCTTCTGCAAGAGATGGCAGCCCCGTATCTGGGCACTCTTTGAGGACCCCTATTCCTCCAGATATGCAAGGGTAAGCCACATGCACCCATAACTCAAAATCCCTTGGGAAAGGTTTTAATTCAGTGGTCCTTACATGCCCCAATGTGTAGTTCTAAACCTGAGCTCCCATGAAAGGCTCTAGCTGAAGGGAAGGCAGAGAAGTGCATTCCATCTGAAGTAGACACCTGTAGGCCAGCACTGTGAGACAAGGGCATAACCAAGGGCACAGCACTCTCTTTCTTATGAGAAGAGGAAGGAACCAAAATCTCAAGCTATTCTGAGTAGATACTTTTCAGCACTCACAACATGTTCTCTTGTCCAGATTCTCTATTAGCTTCCCTTCTTTTTATTCTACACAACATATAAGGGTACATCTTGCAAAAGCTGCCTAACTTAAGACTCATATGCTGAGTTATTGTTGCTTTACATCTGATTTCCAAGCTGAAAATAATGCTGCAAGTTTAATTTCTGCTGTAATGATTGCTTTTGTCTTAGATGTGGATCAAGTCATGATTATAAGGTGTATGTTGCTCTATAGCAGGGGGGTTGTTCTTTCCTTGGCATAGAAGCAACTGGAAGCTATGGAAAATGAATTCTGTGTTCAGTATGTCATGGCAAATATGATCAAAATAGATCTGACAAAATTAATGTGTTTGCTTCTGTGAGGAGAAGCACTTTTGTGACAGTTCAGGGACAGATTCTGCTCCTTCTGATGTCACCAGCAAAATACTTACTGACGTCAGTAAGAGGTTGGATGACTCTCATGCAGCTGCTGTTTGGAGACATTGTGGGAAATGGAGCAAATGGATGGACGGATGCGAAAAATAACTTTTGCATGGTTTTATAGTACATGTGTGTGAGAGCATGTGTACATTCATTATAGAACTACACAAAAGTCAATTATCTTTCGATCTATCTAACTATTTATCTATCTGTTAATAAATCCTTTTCATTTTCTCTATCATCCCTTTTTGTTCTATTATGTGTAGAGATGTTATTGCTTTTCTCCCAATATCATAGAAATTTCAGTTGACTTACTGATATTTCCTATGTGAGTAAAAGGTAATTTGAAGGTGAAAAGACATTTGCTGAGCAGTGAATAGCTAGCTGCATCTGAGTACATTTGATAGAAACAGCTGGGTACCTAAAAGAAATGGATGCATCAAGTTCAACAAATGGGAACTGCTGCCAAGCTGGCAAAGACATTAATAAGATGTATTGCCTGGAGGAGAGCCCTAAGATGCTTTCTATACATACTCCTTCTACACATACTCCTTCAGGTGACTTTGCTTTCTTAGTAGACTCTACTGAGATTTCCCACTGATTTAGCAATTTGGAAGACTTTAAATAGTGTGTAGCAGAAAGGATTAATTAAATATTTATTTACTACAAGATGAAAAGATATTGTCCTGGGACAGCAATGTTTGGATCCCAGTGATCTTTGCCAGGAGAAGAAGAAAGTATTGGGAGGGGGTGGGTGGGAGGGGGGGTTCCTCATACTAATGATGCAGATCTGCTAGTTTTCTCTAATACAGTGGTTCTCAGCCTCTGGGTCCCCAGATGTTATGGCCTTCAACTCCAGGAAATCCTAACAGCTGGTAAGCTGGGTGGGATTTCTGGGAGTTGTAGGCCCAAACACCTGAAGACCCACAGGTTGAGAACCACTGCTGTAATAAACAACAACACTGAATCTAAATTGAATAGTAAGAGTCCCCTCACAATTCTTTGAATTATATGTGGATTTAAAGCAGAGATATCCTGTCCTACTTACCAGTATCTTGTGCAATCGTCCTCAATCAAAACAGGCTGCATCTGAGAAGGTGCTAAAGCTCAGTGCTAAAGAGCATGTTTTGCACGAAGAAGGTTGGCTATGTGGTATCTCCTGCTAAAGCGATTACAAGTCACAGAGCTTAGAAAGACATCCTGTTCAGCCACTGCTTATTAAGAGTAGAGGACATTTCTGAGGTTGAGGAACCAACAGCTTGTGAGTTCCTTCACTGAACCATTTGGTCACACACCAACTCTACAGAGCAGCTGCACTTTCTAATATGTGTATTTAGTGCAATGTCTATCAACTTTGGTAGCCCTGACATGGTTTTTATATTGCCTCCAAATAAAGGATTTGTTCTTTTCAAATAAGCATATTTTGCTTTTCATAATATAGTGGTATTTTTTAATGTTCATTTCGCATTTATGTTATATGTGTGCCTTTAGCTTACTTTTGCCATTATCAGTCCCGCAAAATACTATCTATTGGATGATTCTCAGTAATGTGTGGCATTATATATAGGTTTTACTAGGTGTTCATTAGAAGAAATGCAGTGTGTTTATTCACATGTCACCCTTTAAGAATACATTACGAAATACTTAGCAGCATATAATACAAAGACTAATAGCAGCATATATAAAACAGCAGGTGATTGAATGGCAGACATCACAAAATACACCAAGGACCTTGGTAGCCATGACAAAATAATAGTCCACGGGATCATTATAACACATACCGAATTGGTAAAAATACATGTATAGTGTCATTAATATTTTTGTACAGTTCCTAAATACTTCCAGTATATTAAACCACAAAGGACTTCATTGCTTAGCTCAAACCAGTTGCCATATAGCAGGCATGTAGCCGGGGGGAGGGGGGGGGCTTGAGGGGCTTCAGCCCCCCCCCCCCGAAATTCTCATGGTGGTTCGCGAAAAGGCCTTACTGGTGCATTATTTAAACTGTTATGTTTATTCATATCATGATCCAATCATCATGCTCAATATATCCCATATGCATGGGGGTATTGGGGTAATGATACAAAAGGTTTGCTAGGCTAGACCCTCTTTCACTCAGACTCAGCCACCCCTGAAACTCAGTCGTCGTCCCCCGAACCCCCCTGAAAAAAATTCAGCCCCCCCCCTCCGAAACGAAATCCTGGCTACGGGCCTGCCATATAGTACATGAAATTTTATGACAATGGATGAATCTCCTGCTTACAAAGCTTTTGACGAACCCAGCATCTTTCAAAACACCTACAGTGAAGGACCTTTTCTGGCATCACATTTCCATTTTTCTTATATCATGAAGTTGTCCAACTACAATAAACTTCCAAGTATTTATTCTTTGATAGTGAATGAAATGAGCTTTCTAATCTTGTGCAAAAAAAACATGAACTCTTTATTGTATGACCTTCTTGTATAATGCCAGCCCCACATTGATACACAGACATCAATATGTGTTGGGAACTGTTTACAGAACAAATTGAACTCCTTGAAGTTTGCCTTTTGTAATCAATTTATCCATGTAGGTCTGTTATTCTCCTTTCCCGGCTGACCAAACAAAACAAAAGAAAGTGAGATCAAACTCTTATAAAGCAGACATTCATTTCTCAAAAAAGTATCTCTAAAATATATTGTGCTATTCAATAGATGCATAGATGTATAGATAAACTGTGAGAATAAATCTTAATTTCAAATCTTAAAATGTCAAATGAAATACTGCTCATTGTAAGACATTTTACACAATATATACTAACATTTAGGAAAGTGAGTCATTTTTGAAAATGTAATGAGTAACCCACTGCCCCTGGTGGTGCACCAGGTTAAACTGCTGAGCTGCTGAACTTGCTGACTGAAAGGTTTATGGTTCAAATTTGGGAGCAGGCCAAGCTTCCGCTGTCAGCCCCAGCTTCTGGTAACCTAGCAGTTCAAAAACATGTAAATGTGAGTAGATCAATAGGTACCAGTTGGGCGGGAAGGTAATGGCTGCCCATTCAGTCATCCTGGCCACATGACCTTGGAGGTGTCTATGGACAACACTGGCTCTTTGGCTTAGAAATGGAGATGAGTATCACCCTCCAGAGTTGGACACAACTTGACTTAATGTCAGCAGAAACCTTTACCTAATGAGTAAAAGCAAATGTTCTGATTGAAGGCAATTATCTACTAATGGTGAACCCACCTTTGGATCCATTTGTAGCTAAAATGACACTATACACACATGACAGTGTGTCTTCAGTAGATTCATGGACTTTCCAAGATTTGTAGATATTCAACAAATCTTTAGAGGGAGAAAAAAATAAGTTGCAAGGAGTAGGTGGCCTCATGAGGATGGAATGTGGCCATGAACATGGATTTCTCAATGCCTTTGTTTGCGTGATAGTGGTAGAGAGAATGACATAAAGCTTCCTGTAGGAGCAAGTGGTTGATAGAGGCACAAGCAGGAATACACTGCAAATTTGTGCCACAGTATGGCCAGTTGTACTAAAAATTGAATCAGAAGAACTACAATTTGAGGGTATCAATAGTGTTAGTTAATCTGACACTATTGATATCTAGTCTGTTTCCTCTCAGATTTCTCTTCTATAGTCCAAACTCATCCAACCCCCTCAACCTTTCCTCAATGGGCATGCCATATTCATTGCCCTCTTCCTTTTAGTTCCCCCCCCTGTATCAGTGGCATCACTGGTTATCAGTCAGGGTGCTGAATATAACAATGTAGGACACCATGAAGCATGCAATTAAGCAATTCTGCTGTAGAGTTATAAACTGTGAAATTAGGGTCCCTATACCACATTTGTCATATCACAAGAGATTCCACTGATTCGCTTCTAGAATAACAGTAGTCATATTATTGAAAAAAATTCTATGTAAAATACCAAATTCCTAGTCCTGAATTGTTTTTATAGACCAGAGTTAAAGCAATTAGAGTTCGCAGAGTGAAGTTGGCCTCTCTGTTACAGATATGAGAAAGGTATGCATGAAAAATGATAAAATACTTTAGATTTGGTTAACAGGGAGCAATTATAGCTGTTTTACTTGAGCAATTGTTGAAGTCAAGATTAGCCAATAGTCTAATCTTCCACAGTTATGTCATCTAGTAGCAAACACTTATTCCTATTGATGTCAATGAAACTTGAAATATGACCGTTGTTCCTGACTAAAGCCAACCAGAACAGTTGTATTAAATTTCATAAATTCCATCTTTCAAACCTTTTCAGATCAATTTCTACCCAGAACAGGATATGGTAGGGAAGTAATGGT